ATTAATGCATGGTGTTTCTTACCAATGGTCCTACCCAAACTAAATATTGAAATAAGGAGTTGGTCACAAGATATGTGAGTTTAAAAGGGTTGGGATCTTGAAAAACGAGTATCCTCCTTTAATTAGGACTGAAATTAATGAAGGCCGTCTTATTTTAATTCATGTTTTTAATTTGACCTGCCTCCTCCCCTGTAATGTTTAGGGCACATAGATGAAGAGAACATTTTTTTTGTATTTTGATGCATTAAAGTTAAATTATTGGTAATCGGCGTCTACATAATGCACAAAGCAAGAATATAAAGCTTTAGCTTAATAGGTTAAAAAATTAAAATAAGAGAGTTTTGCAGACCAAGTCTGACTTTTTGTCCTGGCTCTGGATATTTATTCAAATAACATAGTAACTATCAGTCTTATTCACTCTCACTTTCCACTGAGCTTGTGGAAAGATGATAACATCATTATTTCTTTAAATGAAGAAAGGAAAGCCTGCCCTCTTACCACGGATAGTTCCGGTTGGGCATCATCAGTACAAACCTGGTCTAATTTTTACACATACGGTTATTTTTCCAGGTAGGCTAACCTTAAAAATTAGTTGTGAAAATGTCTTGAACCTGTCGTTGTACGTCTTGAATGTTTGACTGAATTTTACCTCACTAACCTTAACTGAATTAATAGAAACATGAAATTTATTTCTTCTCCTTTTCAGGTGTACATCAAAATTTCGAAGGCATCACAGGCTTAAACTACAGGTTTGCAGGAAATCTGCATGTGCATGTGTTTTGAAGATATGAAACTGGGATTATGACTACTTCAAAAGACTTTACTACATGCCTTATAGGTACAGGCAAGTGTGGTAAAAAAAGTTTGCTTAGCTTTTTCATTAGTGCACATTTCTTTTTCAAAAACTTTTGTTTATCCAGTCTGTGCCGAATTCTAATTTTTCAACCAGATTTTATAATTTTTTCAATATTTTTAGATGTTTATATGTTGTGGAAAATGGTTGGGTTGAAATAAAATGCAAAGACTTGCCAGTGTAGTCAGATGAAAACTTTTTACATATCAGTAAAATGTATTGTTGCGTTTCATGTGAACATGTTGCCACAACTCCACCTCCCAGTAAATTCAGTTATCTGCAAACATGAGAAAATACCATCTAAAACTTTTCAACCTATTTAATATAGCCAAGAACAACATCAACTCAAGTTTTAAACTTAAGAGAAAACTTGATTGATGTTTGGAATTGATTTCTGTGATGTAAAAATGAAATCCAGGTATTAGTTTTCTTAAAGACACCCACATTACATGCAGTTAAAGCAGAGGTTATCGAATCAAATAACAGAAAAAATCTCAAAAAGACGTCGTGTATCTCCAGCCAGAGGAAAATAATGAAACATGAAACAAGAAAAGCCAAAAGCGAAAAGTTTTAAAAAATTACACAATTTCAAACACGAGTTGAAAATTACTATTTTTTGAATTTTCTACGCTAAACAGAGGAGGTTGAAACGTTGGGGAAAAACGGTGGGGTAAGCAGTCATACCTGGAAACTTGAAGAGAAGATATAAGAGAAGCCCATACGATTCTGGCGTATTGTTTTACTGACTCACCAAGCTCACTGCACGTGTATACACCTCAATCCACCAGTATTGCGTGTTGTTGTGAGAACATCGTCCCCAGGTTCCAGACCTCGTCAATTCTTCCTCACCTCCCCACCTTCCCACCTCCCCACCCCCCGAACTGGTCTTTCAATCCACTGAAGAAACTCTTCTACAGCCAGTGCTGAAGAGTTTAATTACAGTTTTCATTCAGTATAATGAAGGGGAAAATAAACTAACAAGAGCTCCGCTTTTAGGCTTGGTTAAATCCATATATTATATCTGTTCATTAAAAAAATTTCAGTTCTTCGATTTTTTAGAACTTAAACCTCAGATGTTTGGAGCTTATTTCAGTATTTGCTGGTTTGTTTTACTTAAAGTTGTGACCGAAGTAGGTCACTTTATATCGCTTTCATGATATCCTACCTGATCATATAAAGAGCCGAAATTCTCCTTCACGTTATAATAGATGGTTTTGGTACATAATATCACTAGCGACATTATCGATTCTTACCCTGTTACTTTGATGATCTTGTTTTCGAACGAAACTGGTTTAAGATCATCATTAAATAGTCATGCTCAGGTTTTCCCAAATCGAATTTTCGAATTTCATTTCCGGTCAAAAGTAGCGATTTTTTTCGTTGTTAGTCCTAAGAGACAGGGAGGGGGAGGGGGAGAGGGAGGGGGACAGAAGCCCTATATCTAGTTAAAAAGATATAGATTTGTCCCAATTCTAATCTGCTTAATTTCATCAAATTATAAATACGAACAGGTAGCTACCTGTTTTTTCTTTTTTGGTTTTGTTTTGTTTTTTTATCCAAATCTTAGTTTTGGCGAAATAATCGCTTTTCCTATTTTGTTATCCTTCTATTTCACTGGTTGGTAGTTTCTCAAGAAATGTTAACATCTATGCAGGCATTTGAATTAATTAAAAATAATAAATCCCGTAGGAAAAGTGCTAATAGCCTCGTATGTAAATTTTCTGTTGGAGTTTCGAGCTAGTTGTAATAAAACAAAGCAAAACAAATGGCAACGACCAAACTTCATTCGGTATTTACACTGACATATCTATATTTCTTCTTGAAATATCAAACTCTTCTGAAATAAAGGGAAAAAACATTTTAAGTTAATAAATAAATTTTCAAAACTCTCAGCACAGTTATTTGGATGAGCTAGTGGCGCCCTGTGAATTCGAAAAATTCTGGTCTATGAAAAAAGTTATCGTAATATAAAAGAAATCAACTGGCTCACACCCAAGTTTCAGTGATTAATTATAAAAGAGAGAAAGGCAGTTTGAGTCAAATACTATAAAAGAGTGATCTACGTCATGAAAAACTCGAAGTAAAACAGTGTGTTGTTACCGTTATGGCTATATGTTGTTGGCCTCTGTCGATTTGCAAGCTTAGTTTTCCCATTATTCTTTTCTGAGCGGAGGATAGTGAAGGATACTAAGGAGACATTTGTTTTTCTTGATCGTTTATCGATTGCCTGTCATTTGTTGGAGGTGATGTATTTTTCTTCTCTGTTGCAAAAATGAAGGGAAATCGATTTTTAGGCTTATAGTGCTATTAGGCAGATATTATGAATTATTAATGAACTTGTTTAGACGATTAGTGAAGTGATTTGAATAATCGAGTTGCCCCCAATGGATTATATACTTAAAATAAAAGGTGACAAACACGTTTTGTTGGCATCATAACAATAGATGGCCTATGAGAAAGAAAACAACAGATTGACTTCCACGTTTTATTGGTTGGAAGAGAATCACAAAATTTCAATCAGTTAGGGAAAAAATTCTAAAAAGTATATTCTCGGATCAGCTTGCTCATCATCGAGACGTTGGTTTCAAATCCAATGCGCGCCATGAAAAATACGATCAGTCTTCTTTTTCCTTTGAGCCTTTTGATGTCTGCCTCTGTCTCATCTCAAGGTTAGTTTTTCCTGTCCCTTATTTTGAGTGGAGGATGGTGAGGGTAAATTAGAATTATATGAAAAAAGATTCTTATTTATAATACTTGTCGATTAACACCTGTCATTTTTTTGAATGAGGTATAGGTTTTCTTCATCTTCACTATAGAAATCCCAATATCCGCGGTTTAAAACCTCCTTAAAACTCCTAAACTTTTTATCTGAGAAAATTATAGGTGGACCTATGAACGGGTGGTTGGTTTCCTTTAGCAAAGTGAATCTCATTATTATTTTATGCGACCAAATTACGAGAGGTTTTCATGTTTTTATCTTAATCTGTTTTAACTGACAACTGTTTCGAGACCAACTTCAGCCTGACGCTTTCTTCTTAAATATTCCTTTTTTATATTCAATGACGTAAATTGTAATACACTTCGACTTGAGGGTATAAACTGAGAGAACTTATCCCCGTGACCTATGAGACATTTTTAAAGTCTTTTTTTTTTAATTTCGCACCACGCTGGAATGTTATTCTAATAACTTGCTTCATGATAATGCGGTCAACAATCTCGATATCATGTCGCTGCGGTTTCCAGCGTTCAAACTTTGAGTAAAGAACTGTAACTTCTTATTCTCGAAATGTGTTTTTCATTTTGTACACACAGATCTATGAATCAACAAATAATCGTGCTTTACCGTAGGTTTGGCTAGCTTAACGTCTGCCAACGTGTTGGTGTTTACAATTTCTCGCAAACCGTGTGGCAGGGGCTCGTGTGAAAAAAGTCTTGATTATCTATCCAACTCTCCGTCATTCATAAAAGTGATAAGCCATGAAGCTGACTGAGTTTAACAAGAGGCTACGTGAAGGACACCAAGCCTCTTATGCCTTTTAAGGTTGGGGAGGCTGGCTAAGCAAAATACATGATCCATAATGATTTACATCTAATCCGTAGTTGGCTTTTGAGGATTGTCTTTGCTTAATGCAGAAACGACAAAGCTCGTGGTCTTTGGTAGCCGCCCGATGATCCGCGAAAGATCCTTTTATTGCACTGCTCCTCTACTGTGCGTCCACTGTATTGGTTGGCTTAACTCTTACATGTATTTCGGGTAATAACTATCACATCAGTAAGTCGATAAAACCTTCATGGTTATGGGAGAAACACAAGTTGTCAACTCATCAAATAAAATAGCTTTTGAGTAGTATTTAGAAGTCCTACCAAGAGGTTCTTCAGCGGTGCAGTCGCTAAATAGCTCTTTTTCGGCCAAGAGTTCACCGAGTTGAACAACGAGGTTTAGTTTGACACCGTGAACTGGAAGTGCACTGAAATCTGAAACTTGCTACCTGACAGGCAGCTTCATTTGCCGGTTTCACTGATCTGGACTCACTCTTAGATGTAATAACTTCGCTATTCAATCCTCTTTACTTAATTTACAGCTTAAGCGTCTGCCTGAAAAAAAGCAGAACTTATTTAAACTTCTTCAATTCAGTTTGAATTTATTGGCGATGAAAAATATAATTCTTCAATGATATTACCAAGATCAGGGGGTTTGCAATCGCTAACTTCTTAATTAAAGTTACAATAGGACGTTTCTCCGCAAAATGAATCGAATGTATCATCCAATTCTTTCTCTAGCGGCAGTACAGATCAGTGACTGAGACATGAACAAATACGAGGTTTGAATGGTTTATCGATTGAAATGCTAAAATGATTAGAATGCTACATAACAGCCCGATGTTTTATGGAAAACGTATTTCATATCTAATCACAAAATTATTCGATGTTAATATGAGTAGTGCACGTCTAGTAACCTCAGGGTTCATTTATCTTTTTCTAAAAACTTGAGGTCAGCGAATAGAATAACAGATGGCCTTTGTGAAAAAAATATCAATCACCAGTAGTACTACCATTATTATCATCATCATCACATAAGTAAATGAGTACAGAACAACAAATCCTATCAATCCGAAGGATGTTACAATGAGGCTATGGTGCACAAAATAATGGTTGATATTAGCAAAATTACATAACATATATGTTCCAAGAGGGTTATCTCTACAAAATAAAATTTCCAAAATGCTGCTATCGTCTTTCTGTTCCCAGTAAATTCTCAGATATTTCGAGGCTTATTTTATTATTTGCTAGTCTGTCTTACTGAAAGTTGTGACCGAGGTAGGTCACCTTATATCGCTTTCATGACATTCTACCTGATCATATAAAGAGCCGAAATTCGCTTTCATGTTATAATAGATGGTTTTGCTACATAAGATCGCTAGAAACATTATCGATTCTCACCCAGTTACCATGAAGACCTCGTTTGGGAACGAAACTATTTTAAGATTATCATATATTTTCACTATGCCATTTAGTAATGAACTGAAAACCAACAGATGAACAAAAAAGACAAAAAATGGTGAAAGATTCTTCAAGAGCTGGCGTGAAAGTTATAAGTCTTGTAAATATTCAGCAAATATACTTCGAGGCCTATATATTTTTTAACACCATAGACAATAAACAGTGATCGAATTTTAACGACTAACAGGCAAATTTATTAAAAGGAAACTTGTTCTCGTTTAGAATCTTGCTAATCTAAGGCAGTCTATTTTTTAAGGCAATTGTAAGATGTCTCCGTATGAAGATCGGAAACCAAATGGAGATTATTGTCATCCAAAAACAGGCGAGCTCTCTTTATTCACCGATCGCTGACGGACAATACCGTGGCAAGTCATTAGGTCGTGACGCGTGGAAGGCGCTGATCGGCCCGTTTCAATGCTGTCGGTTACAGTCTTTATTCTAAAGCAAGAATCGGCATAATTTCCGACCAAAGAAAGCATTGCAACAGCTGTGATTCTAGAATCGACTTTGGTACAGGAGGGAAGCCTGAAAACTTCAAGACATATGGGAACAAAGCCAGATAATGGAGAACAACACCTCAAAGTCATGGGGTACATTTTGGTGCAGTGACATGGAAATCAATGCATTTTTACAAAAATAAAACTGAAGCCAGTCGAATGTGACTCGTAGATATGTAGATGTATCAAACTGGGCACAAAGAAATTGGACACCAAATCTGTAGTATTCAAATTCCATCTGCTTTTATACTCCCAAATCGAATTTACAAAATTTTTTTCCCGATCTAAAGTAACAATTTTTTCGTTTTTAGTCCTTAAGGAGATAGAGGGGTGGAGGGTTGAAAGAACAGAAGCCCTGAACGCAGTTGAGGGTAGTGAGTCGTGCCCACTCTTCTCTGCTCAGATTCATCTGATCGATGAATTACATACAAGTGGTTAGCTGTCTTGTATCCTTTGGGAAGAATAAAAAAAGTAGAGATTCTGCCATAAAATAATAAAAACGAACAAACAAACACAAAAAGAGGAGAAAGTGGAGCCTCGCAGGTAATTAAATGAATGGCGTCTCGTTCCTACCGTTAGATTCATTAGATTAATAAAGTACGAATAAGTGGTTCACTGTATGGCACCGTTTGGTAAAAATGGAGGTAAGTGAGGTACTGCCGCGAAAAGTTGCCATGCTCGATTTTAGTGAAATACAGACTAGTAGCTTAAAGGAAAATGCTAACGTAATCCTTCTGTAATTTTCACTTCACAATGTTTGTAAGGTTTAGAAACTTGTTTAAGTTGCCAGAAGAGGCTTTCTCCTTCCTCTCCCTCTTAGCCCATTCACACATCCTTGTAAGATAGCCTTTTCCCAACGTCCCAATGTAAAATGCTGTAAGGTTTTTCACTTTTTGCTTCCTCAAAAATTTCTCGAGTCATATTCATGTCCTTCATGTTTTCAGTAAGTAAGTACTTGAGAGTAGATAATAAAATTATAGTATCATTAAAACAATAATAGCAATAACAACTTTCTCACAATAAAATAACGATGAAAACTAAGAAGTAAACGAATTTGATCAAAATAATCCCTCTGATAAAACTGGTTAATGAATCACGATAGAATTGGAAAATCGCATACACCAACCCGCTTACCGACCTCGTATCTACATAACAGATATAAGATGTTACATTAACCAATTGCGACCACTCTTTTTATATATGAAGGTTCTAATATTTCTTTAGAACAGGCTGCAGGTTTGCTAATGTTGGTCTGTGTACAGTTTCCTGTTGAAAAAAGATCATAAGGACTTACTCTATTCAGTATCTATAAACACATGTTCTAGGCAGTTAAACGTTTAATCATAACCAGTACAATTTCCTAAAATGTGATTGGTGCATTAGCTGCGTTATTTTTCACTTATCACTCTGTAAAGCTGTAATCGGACAGTATAATCGGCCAGTTGGCTGTAATCGAACACGTGTAATCGGACAGTTGAAGTAGTCAATCATACTAAGTCCACTCAGCCAAATCCACCAATCACACAATTAATCACAATTACCATAGCAACAACCACTTATCCTGAAAAAATTGTAGATTTTCCAAAGTTGAGGAATTTTTCACTTAGGCATTGCCTCTACTGGACCTATTTGTCCTAAATGCATTTGCTGTTTTCGGATATTGTAACAGTTATGATTGATTGGTAACAGGACTTTGTGTCGTCCAATTCTGTATGTAATCAAACTCGTGATTAACAAATCAGACTCCCACTTCGCGGTCGTTCAATTTTGTTTATCACTCTTATGATTATAGACATAATTGGACTCCACTCGGTCCTAATACCAATATCAATTCTGGTTGCAAACTTCACTGAAGTTGATTCTCGATTCCCTTTGTCTCTTGGTCTCAGCCATAGATAATTTGGCTTAGGAGTTGTATAAAATTGTGAATCAACTAAATACGACACGTTCCGCTTGACAATGACATTTGTCTGCACAAATCCCATCTAAAAACAAAGTTATAAGATAAAATTGTTGGTGGTGTTCTTTTACTTGCCTTGGGGTTCATTTTCTTTTCTACAAACTTGAAGTCAACCAGTGGTATAACAGATGGCCTATGTAAAAGCCAAACAAACAAACAAACAAACAAACGGTCACCGATGGTGCAATCACTATCATCATGAACATTACTGTCATGATCAATACCATCGTCATTATTAAATAGTTAAATGAGTAAAGAATAGCAAATCCTAGTAATGCACTGCATATACCATTAAAAGGACTGACAAACACATTAAGTGGAAAACCCTACTTTGAATAAGACAACATTTCTTAACCCACACTTCACAAATATGATTTTCATATAACCACAGTCATTTAAACCCTACTTTATTAAGCCGAAGTAGAACATTGAGTCGAGTACCCTGCACGTAATGACTGAACGGGAAGGCCGAATGGGCAAATATTTTGCGAGAGGTCTTAAGGTCTGTACCGATGAACGACAACGAAATATTTTCCCTTCTTACCCAAATTAACTCAGTCAATAATAATTTTGTCATGAGACTACCATTTTTTTCCTCTCTCAGCCTGCATCTTCAAGAGCCGTAGGGTTTTCCTTCTCCGTTTGTGCCACAATTTAAAGCCATCGGAAAAGGATTTTAAATGAGTTTTCAGAAAATGCACACGCATATGCAAGGCTGTGAGGGTCATAAGATGGATAAGTTCGAGACCCATGCCAGTTTCACTCATATTCAAGGACTCCTGAAAAAAATTATGGCCGCTGGTCCAGACTAATTTTTAACCTAGTGCTTGTATGTTAGCCAATAAAGCATACCGGTATATACAGAAAAATGACAGGCTCAGGTGGTTGCATCACTTACCTGCCATGTGCACATTGAAAAGGTAACTGACACTTAGACAGACTATGGATTAGTTCCTGACACTCAGCTGTGCCAAGAGGCTCCCCAAACTTAACAGCACCTGCAAAATAAAGAAATGCCTTCAAAATGGTTGAAATTCATGTAAAATGAGGTCACATCAAAGAAACAGGAAATAAATCAGTTCATTTTCTGCTTACTTTAAGATCTACATGTATTCTTCAGTAAACATAGCATTTATTTTGTTTATCTCTACCTTCAGCTAGAATGAGTGAAGACTTGTTCTCCAAGTGGAGGAATTGTTGGACAACTATTTAGCACACAACTATAACTAGGATTACATGTGAATTCCATGAAATAATTTCAAACATAGTTTGTGGGAAATAAATGAGTCGTTTCAGGTACCTCTCATTGCTACTAATCAAAAGCTGCAACTTCTAATTGACAACAGAAGCATCAGAGAAATCCTTCTCTTTATCATAACATGTCAGCGTTTTTAGCAAGAAAAAGTTCGTGTATGTAAAAACCTCTGCGCTTAAGCTATCTGTTCATACCATGGCAAGCCTGGGAGCTGATCACATCAGAAATAGCCTTGGGAATAACAGGAGGTACTCCGCGTGTCCTTGAAAATTGCTGTTGACAATATCAAAAGATCCTGTTATAATTATAAGAAATTAAATGCTTTCAGACTGCACCACCCTAATGACTGCCTTAAAGAAGTATTTGGCCAAATAAAGTGTCAATAACTGTTTACTCCAAAGTTACAAAGACTACAAAAATCAGTTAACATACCAGTCCTCTTGCTTCAAGACATTCATACTCATTTCAACAACAGCGATGCATTCTATTTGCTATAAGGGCTGAAGGTTGACTTGTTCGAACATCAAACACTGAACGATCCAAAGTTGGATTTTCCCGTTTTTTTAGGCTTCGGTTTTAACAGACAAATTTTTTAAGCGCTTCCGATTTATTCGACCGTGAATGAATAAAAGTTATATATGAGAACTGCGGTTTAAAAAATGTATATGAAAGCGATCTTCGCAGTAATCACCACTACTTAAGCAGTACTGAAAATAAGACCTGAAAAAAATTTCAATCCTGTAGGGGATTTGAACACATGGAGAAATGAATATATTTCCAAAACTAAAAGCTAAAATACTAGCAATTGAAAAAAATACGAGGAGATATTCTGCTCATTGCTTGCATTTTTCTTCCTTCCTACTGGGCTTGGAAAAGACTAAGCCACTCGTGAAATATCCGCCCGTATTATGTGTTGAACAAAGCGACTAAGTTGCACCTATTTATGAACGACTGTTTTATATGATCAATTTTGCAATGATATATGCAAATATATCTTTAGCCTTATCAAAAAGTGCAACTTACTTCAAGATGTTCTCTGATCAGCCCCTAATCAGGAAATACAATGCCCATTAAAACACAGGTGTTCTTTACATGTAACAGATTACAGACTGACACTTGTAAAGTCAACACGGAAGATAACTCAGTACTCTACGCTACAGCCATTTTGGTATCCATAGCCGCTAGCAAAAATTTACGTATTGCATCCACAGTAAAAGTCTCCTTTCTGTGGAAACCTGTACTCAGTGATCTGTAGCAAGCTGTAACGTTTAAGGGAGCTAAAATTTGTACAAATTATCTTGTAATATTGCTCAAATTGTCCCTTTCCGTGTTTTTTTTCCTTACGATTTAAACGTTGTTTTGTTTTAATAGGGTGAACGTTTTTTTCATCAAAACTTGCCCTGGGGCGGCTGAGCTTAGAGCCCTGTGACTAGATCACTCCAACATTTCTGGTTGCACATGTACTAATACTGTTAAGAGAAATTGGTTAGTTGTCAATACTGGGAGTGAAAGGTTTAAGTTAAGTGATGTCCAGGAATGGCCCGGTTATGTTAAATTTATTTGAAACACAACAAATCAAAAAAAGAAAAGGCAAGTTTCTGCTTAAATTTCATTTACAAGTATTTCTAATTATAACAAGAACAACTTTTGCCAAACTTGAGTTTACTCCCATTTAAAATAATTGATACCTTCACGTTATCGACAGCAACTGAAGGTCTTCCACGCTTGACTTCAGAAAACTCTCGTTCGACAAAAACAGACGGTACGCTATCCACAAGGACTGATACGTCCTCAGAGGATTCTGATGATTGGCTTATTAGAAAACGTATCCCAATACGTTCTATTTCAGCTTGAGAAGCTTTCAAGAGCCAAATTTCCTCTTGAGAAAAACAAAGTTTCAGAGGAGGTGAGACTGTCGAGGACTTGATCCTGGGTTTTCCTCCAGTTTTTGTGTCACTGCCATCTCCAAAGAGTTCTGTGATCAAAAGACAATTATCATTGCATTAAGTATCAAGTAAAGCAACGATCCTCACAGGGGAGCTAAAATTTTTCAGGCTTCGACTGGATTCGAACCCATGTCTCCCGGATACTAATTGGGCTCAACAAACAACTGGGCTAAGAAGCCACAAGATGGGAACAAGGCGCAGTGTTAAAGAGTTCTTCTTTCCGAGGAGGAATCTGATCACAACTTCTAACAATTCAATCTTATAATCATGTTTCTATCTTCCTTATTTGTAACACCACTGATGACCAATCATAATACACTCACAACTTAAAGGAAACCTATCATTATACTGTCGTAAAAAAAATTTCGCAGCACAACCATACCTGATTGAAGACGTTCTAATCGAACTCGCTCATGCGCAGCGTGTTGATCTACCAGGACGAGTAAGCCATCAGCTCCCTCTAATTTTCGAAGACCAGAAAAATTCAACAAGTATCAGTTAGAAGGAGTAAAAGGGCTTCCACTTACTTACATGCACATCAAAATTTCCTCTTATCGAACCTTTCCTGCTTTTGCTTCTTTCCACCCAAACAGTGCTGTGCTTTCTTGAGGTCAATTAACATGTCATAATCTGTATTCTGATCCGTTTCCTTCACAATTGCACATTTTTTAAACAATTAAAAACAAATCAAAAAGAACATTTAACTTGATAACCTTTTCTTCTTGAAATAATACTCTTTAATTGTATAGCTGGGTTAACCCTCAAAAGCGAAAGTTCACAATAAAGTAAATTGCAGTTGTTGCTGTTGTTGATGTACTACAACAAACTTAAATCATCATATTACCTATGATCGTGTGGTCTGATCAACCACCTGGAGTAGTCCACAAAAGACAGATATGACTAAGACTAATGTTTTGGCAACCCGAGTGGAAGTCACCATCTGATTGATCAGTATTGTCTTGATTTTCTCCCTTGTTAAACTCGAGAAGACTACTTATTTACCCTTTCCACCCAATGATCTCAATGATTTCACCATCAATTCTCTTCCTCTGTACATTTCCTATAATATTTTGGCTGTGAGTATTAAGTGCTAAACCAAACCATGCCCTCAAGTTGAATTTTCTCAATCTATCCTATCACGACCGACTTACGCCACTTTAGTCTTATAGCCAGTAACATCGCAGCTAAACTGACCAATCAGTATACACGAACAGGACTTAGTACACCCGACTGACAACAACTCTTCACTTGACTTTGATGATGATTCCACTCAGGTTGTAGAAACATCAGTCACCACTACTGACAACAGTCCATCGCAGGACTGCACCCATGCAGACGATCAGACTACACGATTCCTTGTCGAGTTAATTTGACACAAACAATAATTACTGAATGGTCATGAACTCTGCCAAATGAATGACTGCTTTTGATAAGCCAAGCATCTCACCTTCATGTGATACAACTCCTACGATAAATTTCTCATCCAGTTGTCGCAACACCCTCATGCTGGTCAACATCTCTTTTGTGAAACGGTACGGATGAGCCACATTATGCACTGAGATCTGCGATTTATCCAAACCTGGTTTGTTGACCGTAAGTATATCCTAAAATTTTAAAAACACACCTCCACTTGTGAGAATCCGCAAAAAGGGTTAGTGAGACTTTGCTGACCTCAGACAGCTCTCTCAAGAAAGAAACATAACTGGTTTAGTAGACCTTAAATTTTAGAACATGTTTCCCAAAAATTCCTAGTCTCATGCAAAGCTGCTTTAGTAAGGAATGCCAATTCCCTTTCCGTACAATTTATGGTGCTGGCAAGAGTGCAGCTCTTCATTCCATTGCTTTACTTGTGGCTAATCAAAAATTATTTCAGTGTAGTACATCATACTGAGGAACATTTCGAAAATTTTTTGGCCTTTCCCAGAATAAAATCATAAAGAAGCTTTGTGCTTGATTGTTGTTTATGACAATAAGGCTATCACAACGATTAACGTATGGCATCAAAACACGTGTGTAGTTGTGAATCCAACGTGGCATTAGTCTTTGGCCATAAAACTGCAAAATAAAACTTGGCCGATATCCAGCCATGTTGACCAAACAAAGCTGGTCAATAACGCATATGTATTGTCAGTGCGCCACTAGTGCCTATGCAAGTGTAATTAAAATTCCATTTCCTGACCTTTTCTGGAGCAGCAAATACAGGATTTTTCCAATTGTCAAGCAGCTGTGTCACAGTTTTTCCTCCATTGTTAAGTAGGTCTTGTTCATAAGCTTGCAGGGCACCTGCATCAGTCCACTTACAAAGCTTCTCTTCTGCTTCTTGTTCTTCCAAGTGTTTCTTGTATAAAAAGGCCAAGTGAGAATCACCCATTCCTAAAATGTACATAAACATGCAAAGTTGTTTCTCTAAAGAGCAACTGAAGTTTGAAAGGAACTGACACACACATATTGCCCAGATATAAATGTTTTGAACTAGTACTCTTAGCAATGAAGTTCTGTTCTCTCTTCTGGTTGCCAAACATCTACTTGCAAACTAGTTGAGAGAATTTGCTGATACATGTACACACACTGCAAGACAACAAATGTTGTACAGGCCTGATTTTTTTTTGTGCCTCATTTTCACTACTGCTTATAAGTAGTAGTGTTTCTTACAGCAAAGATCAATTCCATATTCATTTCTTAGTCCCAGTTGACATATATGATTTTCATATATTCACAGTCGTTTATTCATTGCGTCACTGGTTTATTACAAATCAACACAATGACCAGCTCCCAGTTGGCTTGTTAGCTTAGTTGGTAGGGGACTGCAGGGTGATTACAGAGGTTGTGGGTTTAAATCCCATACAGGCATGAATTTTTTTCAGGTCTTATTTTCATGACTGCTTATTATTAGTAGTGTTCATTACTGCCAATATTGCTATCATACGCATTTCTTAAACCACAGTTCACATATATGATTTTCATATATTCACAGTCAAACCCCTGAATTAAAGTGTTTCTCCTCTGATGTCACCTGTTTGCAAGATAGGACATTGAGGTAAATTTTAAGGAAAAGTCAATAGTTCAATTTCCTCTTGTAGTCCAGAAAATGGGTAGCAATGCATATACCTCAAAATAAGAGTAGAAAAAAATTGCAAATCTAACTTTTTAAAATCCATTTATAAAATATTATTTCATCGACAGAGCCAAGATCAACATTACCCTCAGTACCTGCGGCAGGTTCCTGTTTCCTATCCTCCCGTGGAAGCCAAGGGGTACACAAAAAGGACAAGTGAGAGGCACACGGGTGTGGCACACGCTGTCTACGGTCCTCTTCTTTCCCACAAAATTCAGTTTCACTTAACACTGAACAGTCATCATCTTTAATACTGAATTCATTTGGTGCTTCAAAGGAAGAGTGTCCAGTTCGACTGTTGATGAACAATTTTCTTCCCAAAGATGCATCAAATGTACAAAACCAATCCTTGTTTGAAGAACCTAACATTCCTGTGTGGATTTCAATTGTATCAGGATTCATGTTAGATTCTGATGTCAATGACTGGTGACTAGATTTACCTTTCATTGGAAGCAATTCAGTCTTTCCAGGATTCCCTCTTTGATGGCTGTTGGTGTCTTTTGGAGATTTTTCTATGTATCTGCCTTTATCAACTTGCTCAGAATACAATTCATTTTCAAAACAACCAGGTACTGCAGAGGTATCTTTCCTAGTAGGAAATTTTGATACACAAATCTGATCTGTGGTTTTATCTGAATAATGTTTTCTGAGATATGAAGAATCACCTGAGCCAGAAGTCTCTCCAGCAACCACAGCCACACCAGCCTTGTTTCCTGCACTGTGTACTTCAATGCCGCACATAGCATTATGATCCAAACTGTCATTTGCAATTGTTCCTTTGACAAAATAATTGCTAGAATATGCTGATGACTTAGTATTGCAATTGTCATTAACAGGAGCACCAGCTGCATCACAGTCACTTCTCTTGACATTCATTGATTTTCTCCTGTCTAGAACAAATCTGCTGTTACAGTTTCCTTTCAGGGTGATTACCTTCCTATTCTTTGATGGCGATGCTAACTCATCCACTGATGCTTCCTTGGTTTCTTGCAATCTCTTCCTGGTACACTGCCTATTCAGAAAAATAGGACTCGGAGAAGTAAAAGTTGACAATACACCAGTTTTCCTTTCACCTTTTGTAGAAGCAACAGAGGATTGATGATTGTTTTGGCGTGTTGAATGCACAAACAGTCCTCCGTGTTTTGGACTATTAGAATCAGATTGATAAACTTCTCTCTTTGCACCTTCATTATTTTCAAGTGTTCCAAGCGATAACAATGAGCCAGTCACTGTGTTCCTCATGGAGCTATTTGATGTATTACAGGCATCCAAACTACCAGCAGTGTTCCTGATTGACAGTTTAAATGAGTTGCTAAAACTGTTATAACCATCCTTGCTGGTGGAAATATTTCTCACATCATTTAATTCATAACATCTGTCTGTCTTGTTCTTATCATCAGTGGATTTAATTTCTTTATCAGAGCTAGAAAAGACAGGAAATTCATTCTCTGAACAAGAAGTGTCAAGAAGTGATTCAACTTTTTTAACTCCCCTTGGCCTCAAAACAGTTGAAGAGTGCAAGCTCTTGTTAACATTGCTGGTTTCAATCTCCCTTTTGTACTCAAAAGCCTCAAGATTAGCATAACGTGAAGTTTTCATAACAGGTCCATCCTCATTTGACTCTGATACATCTGAGGTTGCTGAATCTTCCAGGTTGGAGAGCAAGTTTTGTTCAACCAGAAATTCCTCAATACATTTTTCCACACAACTGAGGACTTTGTCCCAATTCTGAAATTCAATCAATGTCTTTGCTGGCTCAAGGCAAACATCATATTCAGTGACAAGACAGTCAATATTTAGAACAAATATACCATGTTTCTCAAAAATCTTTGTATTCTGAGGGCTCGTTGTTTTACTCTGGTGGTTCTCTGATCTGACAGTATCTTTCTCCTCAGGCAAAGGCAATCTCTTTAAATGCTCTGATTTTATGCGAGAATGCTATTCACAAGCTTGTGAAGTCTTGTCTTCAGTATTAAACGCCTATTTATATACAAAAAATTGCAGACTCTTACTATGGTGTGTGTCGGTTGAAATAAAACCAGAAACTTTGAAGTTGTCCTGTTCAAATTGTACTTGTTGCAAATGTTTTGATCTTTGGTTGCCAAACAGCTGAGAGAATGCTGAGACAACAGACTTGCAGTCATGCGTTCGAAGGCATTTCACACCCGATGAATCGTTTATCAATGTGAATGCAGTCTTTGGGTTTATAAGAGCAATGGATGCAATTCTATGCCGAACACGGTCAAAGTCAAGTGTTTCCATGATAGCTTTACGTCTCACAGGAAGGTTTGAAAAAGCCCATGAACTGTTACACTTGTTCCACGGATAGTTCTCGGAAATCGGGACTCTTTGAGCTCAAGGACTTGAGAAGTTCGAAACAATTTGCAGTAAGTTTGATGAGAAGACCGATGACGAGTGGATATTTCTAGCACATCGCAAATCTCTCGTATACTTGCAAGAGCTTCTCCTCTGAAACCATGAAAACTCAGCTGTTCCAAATCTTCAAGCACATGGCATTTACTACTCGAGTATCGCTCTCCAACAAATCTCAGATCTCCGTGGGTTATACCAATACCATTATCGCACACTTGGATCTTAAAATTCGGAATGTCTATCCGAACTGTGATGCAGGTAGCTTCAGCATCTAAGCTGTTCAAAACAAGTTCTTCGACGCATTGCGTGAAGTTGGTGATGGCGACCCCTGATCTTAGACGAGATCGCACCTCTTCTTGCAGAGGGCGGATCATACCTGGCAGTAGAAGGAGATTACATATTTTTTCGAACTAAGTGACTTGGCCAGACATAATCACTATACCTTTCAGGTGTCATGATGTAAATATTGCACGCAAGATCTCTGCCGATACGCGCCATAATAAAATTCTGCGCGCTTAAGATATCCCAGGGACCTTTGTGGGTTGCTTGTGAGGCCACTCTTTGGGACTGATACATAAAGGAGAAAAAGGCGCCATTTTGATTCTCTGGCGGCAAAATGTTGCTCTCTACGAGTAGAAGTAAGTATATTCTCTTCGTTCCTTGTAGACTCGTTGCTTTTTGCGTCTTTATTTCTAAAATTGTTTTTCTCTCTTTTGATCTGCAGTGGCCAAGTCAAAATCAAAGTGAGTGATCTTTCGTTATGGCATTTTAATTGGTAATGATCTGAGTCGCGATCGGCTTCAAAAAAGGTCTTTTTAGAAAAGAAAAAAACATGCGTGGACAGTCTTCAGTTCTGTGTTTGAGATCCTGGCGAATTAATACGCAGTCTTGTAGAAATTAAAGTTAGGCGTGTTATGAAGTGGTTCATACTTACAACCGAGAGATCGATAACGCTGTCATTGTGACAGCGGCATAGATCCACCGAGATCGTAAAGAATTAACCTCGTTTTTACTTAATTGTTTTGTAGGCGCATTATTGTGCAACTTGTTAGTATGGCTGGTACTGGATATTATTACATGATGTCCAGGAACAGACTCAAACCCAAGCTGGAGTTCATGAAATACGATCCAATCGGTGAGTGCGGCCTGTTGATAACAGCGTGGTTGGAATAATGATAGATAGACAGCAAGCCAGCAGTGTCCACGTGAACTGAGGACATGGTAAATTGGTGATGGAAGGGAGGGTAGATGTCCGTCTTTGTGGACGAATTATTTGTTTTGTGGTTCATTATACTGTTGAACATCAATTTAGTGGATTAGAGGTCGAGGTTTACCATAGAGATGTTGACTAGACCCAGATAGTAATGTGTACATCTTCATGCTAACAACTACGGTGATGCAAGTTATTTTGCAACATAGCTAGTAAATTTGTCTAATCAAATTCAATTGCGTGAGCATGCTTCATATTCCTATTGTGCATGCTCATGATGTCAGCAAACAAA